CTGGGTACGGCAAAGGGCAAATCCCCTGGCTCGGATGGCCTGCCTATGGAGTTTTATGTGACTTTCTGGGACTTTTGTGGGAAAGATCTTGTCGGGGTCTTCAGTGCTTCTCTATAGGCTGGTCTCCTCCATTCTTCTCAACGTGAAGCTCTCATTACTCTGATTGATTTTGAAGAAGGGTGATCGTCAGGACCACAAAAATTGGCGACCGATTAGTCCTCTAAACCTTGACTACAAGCTCTGCGCTCGTGTTTTAGCTGGCCGTCTGTTAAAGGTAATATCTAAGGCTGTCACTCCTTAACAGACCTGCGGAATTTCTGGACGTTTTAGTGGCGAAAATGTCGCCTATCTACGTGACGTTGCCGAATTAGCCAATGAACTTTAAGACATACCTGTTGCTACACTGCCTCTTAATCAAGAGAAAGCTTTTGATCGAGTTGACTGGCCTTTTCTCTTGGCCACTTTGGGTAAGATGGGCTTTGGTGTGAGCTTTATTCGGTGGGTCAGGCTCCTGATTATACCGATGTCCGTAGCACCGTCCTTATTAATGGTTATTGTTTCTGTGCCTTTAGGCCATCTTGCGGAGTGCGTCAAGGTTGCCCTTTATCTCTGCTCTTGTTTTTTGTCTATTGAGGTACTTGCTGCCAACATTCGATGTAACCCCGCAGTCAGTGGCCTGCGTTTGCCTGGCATATCATCTCCTCTTCATGTTTTATATCTTTATGGTGATGACACGTCTGTTTTCTCTTGCGCTAATTGTGCCACCAAGGTGCTTTTTGCAGTCAGTCACCATGGGTTTGAAAAAGGTACTGGAGCAAAGGTCAATAGCGGACAGTGAGTCTGGCTTAGTGCTTGGCGTGGTCGTTTGGATAAGCCTGTTCCAATTCAAGGGTTTGCCGATAAAGCTAAAAGATTGGGGGTTTAAATTGGCAATAAAAACCTTGAGGAGGTGAATTGGCGACCCCGAATTAACGCGGTAGAAACGTATCTGGTAATTGGCTCTCATTATTAACGCTCTGGCTTTGTCTCGGATATGGTTTATGGCGTCCTTAATTCCCATGCAGGCGTGGGTTGTTGCCGAACTTGACACCCTCGTCTTTTCCTTCTTTTGGAGTAAAACGAAGGAACTCTCATCTTTGTGGCGGTTTCAACGTTGTCTCCATTCAATTCAAAGTGTACGCTCTTCTGGCTCAGTGGGTTCGTCGCTATGTTACTGCCCCAAATGCGTGGGCTCACATAATGACCTTTTGGTTTTTTGACCTCTTTGGGGACTTGACCCCCAAACTGTTTTTGCCACCTCTCAATTTTTCTCACTTATTGCCTCGGGTCTCTGTCGCCTGTCGGCCTGGTTGCTGGTTCTACTGACACTACGTGCTTCGTGCTGATTCGCTTTCATGTAAGTCTTCCTACCAGCTGATTTTGTTTTTGAATCCGGAAACCCGTCACTGCGTTGACAATTTCCGTTTTGATTTTGTCAATCTAGACTGGGCCTCTACCTGGAAAGCTCTTTTCTTTATGCTTCTTGACCGGAAGGTCATCGATCTCTGCTGGAAAATTGCTCTCGGTGTTTTGTACACTGCGCACCGGCTTGTCCTTTTTGGTCGTCTTGATGTTCCTCTTGCTTGTTTCTGTGGACATCCTGTTGAGACCTTGGAATATTTGTTTTTACACTGTCCTTTAGCGCAGAGTGGCCAGGTTCGGACTCAGTCTTTTTTGTTTTTGTCCTCTCCACTGGCTCCTTCTGTTTCGTTCGTCACGTTCTTTTTGGTTTCAACGATGATGAGTTGTATGCTCCGCGCGTTTTCTGCTATCTCTTGTCTCTTCTCAAATTTTATGTCTGGCATCAAAGGAAAGACTATCGTTTCCAGTCTAAGCCTTCTAGTGCTGTTGGGCTCATTGTCAGTATTAAAGGCCGTCTCTCTTTTTACCTACCGTTGTTCTTCAAATGCTTCAAATCCGGGCACAGGCGTTTTTTTCAGCGTCAATGGGGTGCCAATGGATACATTGGTAAAGTCGTTGGTGACTTCTTTCGTCTTTCTTTTTAATTTTTATCGTGTAAAGTTGCTTTTGTTGTTTGTTGTTGTTTTTTGTCCCCTCCCTTCTGCTCCCCCCGGTCGCCTTTGTTGACTGTTCTGTGGTGTCTTCTTCTTTTCTTCTTTAAAGGTATTTGCTTGAGTGTGTGAGGTCTTTTCTTTTACGAGTCTACCTTCTTGTTGCTCCTCTTGGTCGCCTTTACTGGTTGTACTGTCTTTTTTATCGAGTAGGGGATGTATTTGCTTGAGTGTGTCAGGTATTTTTCTTTGTACGTGTCCACTTTCTCCCTGCTCCTCTCGGTCGCCTTTGTTTTTTTACTGTGTGTTCTGTTTATTGTATATTATTTATATTATTAAGTAGAATTTAAACTAATGGGGAGGCAGGATTCGATTCCCCGCGACTTTGGCGGGCTGGCTTCGTATGGAGGTGCCCCCTCCTTTTTTGGCGGTCTTTCCCCAGTGTATTTTCCCCTAAGTTTTGTTTTTTGTTATCTTTTATTTTGGTTTTTTACCCCCCTTGTTTTCATGGCCTTGGGGCTTTCCACCGCGCCCTTTGGACGGCCAAAATACAAAGAAGGGTCTTTGATACGGGGGTTCCCCCCCCCGCTTACTGACCCGACGGCTATGCCATACTGATGAGCCCCAATAAGGGCTAAACAGCTGTCCATGGCTGCCACTGCCGGGGTGATACGGTTGTGGGCTTGCGTAAGGTACTGGCCATACCGCGGAATTGGTACGTGTTTTTTAGTGCATAATTTGGTTGTTTTAAAATAATAACTCTCCTTTACATGCAATCTTACAACCCTGCCATCCCGGGGAGCCCTTTCTCAAGATTATTGAATGGTCGCTAAGCACGTAAACAAGAATAGTGCTGGCAAACCACGTGTTTTGTTTTGTTTTTTTTTTTTACTGTGTACACGGCATTCATGAAAAACAGGTCTTGGTTAGGTTAGTTGTAGATAGTTTTGCATATTGTTTAGGGTAGTTAGGTTTATTTAAAAATTTTAAAACTCCTGAAGGATTTTAAGGTGTTTAAATAAAGAATTATTCTATTCTATCCTATTAATGCTCTTTTTCTTTCACTTGCTGTTCTTGCTGTAACCTTCAGTGTTGTGGGTTTTTATTGTTGCAAAGCCACCGCCAAAGTGAATTTTGCGCGAATTTGATGTATCACTAGGCGGGTTACCGCTCCTTGAACCGTTTACATGGCGAAATTTGACCCCGGCTGAGAGGGTTACCCGGTCTGGCAGGCCGGGATACCGGCTTTGGCGGGTCACCGACCTATCAAGTAAACGCAACCAAATTAAAACGAGAGATTATAAGGACAGGTGGGTTACCCCACCTACCTTGGGTCCCACACCTCCATGTAAACAGGCCCTTAATTCGCCACCAATTCGTAAAATTTCTTTTATTTTCAATTTTTGACTTGACCATAATTGAACGCTAAGTTACACAGAAAAACCCCTCAAGATTTACTTTTTGGGAAAATTTCATTTTGTTCTAGGTCTTCTATATTCTAGCGAGAGATATTGCCAATCAATTATAAGCTAGTTTCACCTTGTAGCCGTGCAAAACAAAGGCAAACAGGAGCCCATAAGCGGCAAAGAAAAGTACAAAAGAGTGTGCTGCACGTGCAAAGTTTTTTTTTTTTTTCTAATTAGGCCTGTTTTTGTTGCTTTTTATCGTTCTTGTTGTCTTCACCGTTTCTTTAGCATTGCACTATTTCATAATTTATTTGAATAAACTATAAATATTAAAGAAAACTTCGCTTTTAGCCCTGGCTAAATCGATTTATAATTATCCTAAAACGATTAATCACCAAACTCTTGCAGGCTTATTTATCAATTGTCAAGTATTACCTGGACTTTTACCTTGAGCATCACGTTCTTCTTGTCCTTTCCAATCATCGATTTTCTTCTCCAGTCTAGCTATGTCTTCTTTGCTGGCAGTGTTGTTTTCCAATTTCATCTTCACAACTTCGACATCTGAACTTACACCTAAGAGAATCGGGGTGTAGTGTTCCCTGTTTTTAGCGTCGTTTTGATCTTGAGCTACTGTTAAGGCCTGTATCTTTTCTTCCAATATCATAGCAATATCCTTCTTGTCTTCTTCCTTTCTTCTTCTTAGAGAATCTACCGATGCTTTTAGTTCACTGATATCTGAGCCCACCTCTTCGAGAAACTTGCTGTACGTCCGACACTCGTCTCTTATTCCCATTTCCAACTTACGAACCTCATTTGTGGGAAAGTCCGACTCCGTCAAACTACCAACTGCATCAACCACTGCAATTGTGGCTTTCGAGACACCAAGAGCTAGAAACGCATCTTTGGTGAAATTCACGCGCTCGTCAAAGGTTACTTTGTCCATCTCCGAGCTGGTTGAGTGACAAAGTGAATTCCTAAGAAGACGAAGCTGATCTATGGCAAGTGCAAAGGTCTCCGCCTTGTCTCCACCCGGGCTGAGCACACATGCATGGAAACTACCATGAGGTAACGCACGGCGTTTCACGTACAAATCATTAAGTGTGGTGTAGGATCCCGTGCTGGCTCGTAAGGCAAAAGACCGCGCAAATATTGTAGCCTGGAACAGGCTGGTACAATCCCAGTCATTGTACGACTGGTGAATAGGAACTTTAGTCCTACCACCCTCTTTTGTGGCAAACAAATTTCTCACAGTTGTTGAATCATCCCATGGCTGGTTAGTAGGGTGACCTGCATATTTCATGTCCCACATGGTTTTAAAGGTCTGCTGTAAGACTTGTGGAAATTCATTTAACACTAACGATGAGAACTTGAAGAAATTTAATTGCTCGTCACTAAACGGCTGCAATGTCATTTCTGATTGGTGTTTATAGGTGTTACTGGAAGAACTAAAATGAAATAAAAGAACATGAAATCTGAGTAATAGACACAGTTTAAAAGGAATTTTTGCCTAAAATAAATAAGGGGTGTACGGTGTAAGTAAAGAATTATTTCATTCCTTGGTAATTACGTTGTACTGCTCATACCGTATTTCCTCGAATAAGCGCCCGCGCTCTAATGAGCGCCCGTCCCCGAATAAGCGCCCACCCCTAAGCCAAAGTATCTTGAAATCGCCCCCATCGAATAAACACTCCTTACTCTGTTAAAAAATAGGGATATTTCCACTTATTTATAGCTTTTTAAGCTTCCAATACAACATTCATACCGATACATTTGCGTGTAGAGTGTATAATGAGACTAGGGTACGCTTGGCGACCTTAAGTTTAAGTGGATGGTGTTGTAGTCTTTGTTCTCTATCAAAGGTTTAACAAAATAAATCTACAGTTCATTTAGAGGAAAACTTCTTAATTAAGCAGCCCCTCGACTAAGCGCCCTCCAATAATCGTCCCTCCTTTTAGCAGAAATATTTAATAAGCGCTTATTCGAAGACATACGGTAACTAAAAACGAATTTTGATTACTTAAGGGAAGAAACGTGAAGGAAAGCCGAAGAGCAATATGAGCTAGATGATCGTAAGGGAAACATCTTTCAAACAAAATTCTCATTATACATTGAGTAGGAGTTACGAAGTATGAGGAGTTATACTACTTGCTTCCGAGTATTCGGTTTCTTTTCCCTATCTGTTACCGTAAAATTCCGAAAATAAGCCCCGGGGCTTATATTTTTCAAAGGCCCCTTTTGAGGGGCTTATTTTTGGAGGAGCTTATATTCGAAGGGGCTTATCTACGGAGGGAAACTTGCGTTTCAAAATCGATTTGGCTAGCCTTATAGTTGGAAGTAAATTTACCGTTTTTGCTTTGTTTTACTTTGTATTTGACGGAAATTTTCCAAGTACAAGCCCCCGGGGGGCTTATATTTGGAGGGGCGATTTAACGGAGGGTTTTTGTGTTACCGGTTTGGGGGCTGGAGGGGCTTATTTTCGGAATTTTACGGTATGTTGATATTGTTGGCGACTGATGAGGGCAATCTTCGCATAGAATATGCGTCAGCATAGAAGGCACTTTAAAGTTGGTGCGGGTAGGCGCGTGGCTTTTCGGATATTTTTTCTCTCTTGGTTGATTTGCTAAAAGCCCAGCACCGCTGATGTGATACGTCAACAGAGCGTAAGGTGATAGCTACTTGATTCTCCCCTATTTTCTAATTAATGCTAGTTATTTTCAATGTTTTTTTTAAGCTGGTCTTTGTAGCGATGTATGGGAAGGCCCATAATTCTTACATCACGGCTGAGCTCACTTTGAAGCACCCGGCGAGAGAGTCTGAGTCAGAGTCTTTTATTCGGCGTACCATCTGATTTGGTGTTTAATGATGGCTGCGCTTTTCGCTTTCAAGAAAATCTAAGATAGTTGAAGGGAAAGTAGCTGGACCTGATAAAATCCCGCCGGAAGTCATTACCCAATGTGATCTGGATGATGTCATACTGGAATTTGCCAATAGTCTTCTTATCAAAGGTGATAAGCCAAACCAATGGTCTAGGAGCAATATCATCCCCATCCCAAAAAAGGGTAACTGTCATAGAATGCCTAATTAATAATAGTTACTACTTTTATGCTAATTTTTTTTTGTTTAAGTATTTTTTTTGCCGTGTACGCTATTGCGTAACTTTTATTGTTGCAGTTGGTACCTTATTGTTCGTTATAGAACTAATTAGGTAAAATATTCATTGTAAGCCGTTCTATTGGTTGTAAGTGGTCAATTGCTAGTTCGGACCTTTTACAATAGTCCCTTTTTGCCACACCTTGCATTTGCATGGGATTTGGAAGTTTTAGATATTAAGAAGGAGCCGCGTCACTAAAAAGTCAGTGCGGAGGGCGCGTTCAGAGAGGCTGTAAGAGAGAGACCTTGAAGTACAAGCCGTTCTATTGAAATCCCTTCAGCAGAGGCGTCCCTTTTAACTTCACGGCAAAAGAAGTCATTTTGTCGGGGGAAGGCAGTTTGATGTGCTGTTAAAGTTGAGAGAGCAGGAGAAGTATTGTGGAGACTGTAACATCTCTCCAAGAACGGTTGCGGAAAACCAAAGTGAACTAGAGAGCAGCGGCAGACCGGGAGACCGAAGCCGGAACAAGTGTGTGAAAGATATAAGAGAAAGGCGGCTACTGGAGTTTGGACGTTTTGGGAACGAGTAAAAGTGGTGTTGTGTTCGGAAGGAGTCGCGGCGGGCTGGACTAATGGAAAGACGAGGAACTCTGTTTTATACGTAAGGTGAACTAAACAGGGAACTATTACTGCGTGTTCGAATAAGATAATTTGTAAATATGTTGTAGACTAAGGGACTGGTCAAAAAGTATGGGGGGGGGGGGGGGG